CATAACAAAGGCGTCCCAAAACAGTCGCCAAGTGTACTAAATATGGCTCTGGTAAGGTCAATTTCTGGGACGCAATTTTCTCAAAGACAAAGACAAATAACACAAAACAACAACAAGAAGTACTTACCTTGAAGGTTCAAGTGTGGCTTTGAAGGATCGGCATCGCCGTAAGACAACAAACGAAGGAAAAAATACCCACCGAAAATTAAAGTACCACTAAAAAATCCGAAAAAGAACAACATGCAGGCAAAGAAACCGTACATTTCGACTGGTTTGCGCCACATTTTCGCCATCGTTTCGTCACAAATCTCCACTATGATGGAACCATCCAACGCCATCTTGGAGCACGAACCAACCAATCGGCGATAAGAAATCAGCCCACGTGACAAAAGTTTCCTATCCAGTCTTTCTATTAGCCATGTGCTTCTTAAGGCGGAAAAACCTTATATATATATCTAATCGGTCAGATTGAAATTGGCCAAATGGACTGTTTTATTTAAAATAGTTACAAGTTGTTAAATTTATTTTTATGTGGATAAAAAGCGGAATTTTTAGTGTTATAGAACTACAAGAGGTGGGGTAAAACATTTTTATGCGAACAGGTGTTTTTAATTACCAACTTGAGTTTTGAAAACGCTGGCGCAGAATTCAGAGTCGGATGTCACCGTCAAAACATTGATAGTTAGAAAGATCAAACCATTGAGCCAAAGGCAGCCATCTATAGATGGCAATTTTACTCGCTTCGTTCTAGTACCGAGTCTAAGAACTATCACCCGCCTTAACAATAGTGTGATGTGATATTGATCAGCTCTGGAACTTCCTTTCTCCTGACGGCCAGTGTTGACACTGTTTTAATTATGTCCGAAAAATAAATATATCTCTAAATGGTTTGTGTTTATCGTCTTAATGATGGTATTGGGTTTGACAAAGCCTTCTCCTAGCTTATTTCTTCATAAAACAGTTTGCAGTTCAATGATTTTATATCCCTCTCACCTGACAAAATAAAGGCCAATTTGTATAGGTAATAGCATGATTGTATTGGAGGATATTTTAGCATAAATACCTCAGTGATAGATCTATTTTGAAATTGTTATACGTAATTTCACGAGCCGTTAGGCGAGTGAAAAGTTGAACAATTTTGAAACTCTAGCCTCTTGAGTGCTCTCCAAACTTCCCAAGCGCTCAATATATCGACATACGCACAGCTAACGCATGAACTAATTGTTTTATACAGGGCCCATCAGCTCTGTTTTATAACATTATCAAAGCGATCAATGCAGATGTTAACTTAAATATTTATTATTGTAGCGCGCGTGCTCAAAGCAGTGTGGGTCAATGTCTACGTGACTATATATTTTTTAAGTCACAATTATGTTTTAATCTTGAAACTGAGAGAAAGTTTGCTCAAGTCGCTTAAGATAATAATAAAAAGATTGTAAAATACATATTGAGGTACCGGAAAACTATTTGACGAGTATCCCCATCCCTGCAGTTTAGCATAACAGTATTAAATCCCCGGTTTTTATTTTCATTCACGCTGGACGAGCTCTAAGTGGCCGACCATTTAACTTTAAAGGGGAGGTATGGGTGATTTCAGAAAAAAATATAGTGCAGACTCATTTCGAAGGAAAAAAATATCTTGCACTCAAAAAAATATATCTATCATGGCGTTTAATGCTGAAACATTTTTATGCTCCACTGATCCTTTAATGTTATAAAATTCTATCTCGAGAGATTTTGGGAAAAAAAAAGTTCATACCCAAACCAAATAACTACCCCTCAAAAATTCAAAAAGAAAATAGAGGGTCTGTGAACAGGCTACCACTGCGTAGGGATGTATGAGTTAGAATATGTGTTGTAGCGGTAGACCGGAAGTAGTTTGTGTGCTCTCGAACGTTGATTGTAGTTGAGTTGTGATAGCAAATACATTTTTGATCCAGCCCAGGGTCAACTGAAAATAGCAGTAGACTTTATTTCAGACTCGAATTGAAGAGTAGAAAGCCTGCCCTGTTTCCTTTGGAATTCCCGAGCGAACATTTCTGGGTCCTCTGTTAGTCTTGGTATGACGTGGTAACTACTCACCTTATTGTCTGCATACTAAAGTAAAACTTTTGCAAATGATGCAGTATTGCATTCATGGTGTTATTGAGTGCTAATATTGGAAATCCTGACGAATAACAAGAAGACCTGCAGATTTAAGAACAGTGGCAACATCGATGGCAAATTGGTTTTTAATCCCTTAATATAATCTACCAAAACAGAAGTATACATTTTGTGGAACTGAAATCGACCAAGTTGAATCTATGTAGTATTTAGGAATTATCGTAAATTTATAGTATTGCTAAGCTAAAATGGTTCGTTCAAGCATATCGCATCACTCTCAAGTAACGTTAATTAAATTTCTTCTGCAAAGCCACATTTTGACCCTTCTTTTCAGCAACTTACAATTTGACCTTCTGCGTTTTCATTCTTGTAACATAGTATACTTCATATATCGTACATTTGCATTAATGTCGGATTCCATTACAATATAATTAAAAAAAAAAAAAATGTTGACTGAAAGCACTGTTTCAACGTTTTAGCGAGCATAGACTTTCCAGAAATCACTAGTAGACGATGGATTTGGGTTAAGACGACAAACGATATCGTGACATATATTGTTCGAATATGGTTCAATATGTACCAATGTTGAATGATAGTTTATGAAGACAAACGATATCGTCAGCCTCTTTAAAAACTCGACATCGCTTCATCAGCTCAGCGAGTGAATGCACACGCTTTACTTGCATTCATTACACTCTCTAGGAATAACGTTTAGTTGCTACTTGATTTTAATGAATAAATGCAAACAAACAGCGATAAAGGCAAACGTGAAAGGTTGTATATAAAAAAAATATTGCAGCTATATACTTGAAAATGTTAATAAATGTGAAAAGCGGGTAAAACTTCGGGCAAAAAGCCTAATTAAAGCAAGCTTAAATAAATAGAGAAAATAAGGAAAACACGATTAATAAATAGAAGCCAAAACGAGGATAAAATGCAAATGAACATTAGTTCTTAAAAAGGTTCTCTAAATATCTAACTTAGTATCTGATTTTTCACATGATAACTGCTACCCAACGTATTTTCACTCCAAACTATACAAAGAAAGTATCTTAATAAGATACATATTTAGACAATGCAATCAATTTTGCGAGTTCTTGGCGAACATAGACTTTCCAGAAATCACCAGATGTTGGATTTGGGATTTTATCATCGCAAAAAAAAAATAAGGTGGTTCATGTACCAATGATATTCGCTAACTATGAAAGCAGAATATATATACAGCCTGTCTTGATTTTGACCATGACCCCATTTGCCAACTGTGTACACGCCATTTAATCCCACCCCTGACAAACTCTTGCCAGCCTTGAGTTGTCATTTTTCCCCACGACATATGAGCCACACGAGGCGGGCTGGACATCTGTCTGACCGCTGAAGTACTGGACTACAGCTTCACCGCTGCTGTTGGCAGCAGTGGTAACGTGGAACGTACGTCCATATTTTTAAAGCAGTGGAATCTCAGCTGGGTGAAGGGACAATTTGTGTTCTCAGCTCATTCATGGCGGTTTTCGTGAGAACCATCTGATCACTGGTTATTCACGGTATGAAGTCTTGACTGGCAGCTGAGAGGAGGAGTTGAACCAATCACAACGTTGGAAACGAGGAGCCATCCTCCTGAAATGGAAAGTTGTTTTAATAAGGAAAAACAACCGTTTTAAAGGTACAGGTATAATTTAGAGAAAACTGACCCGGCAGCAAACAATGTCTGTTTTCTCTTTTGCCGAGGCAAATCTGTATAATTCTTTATATCACACTCATCCTTATCCAGTAATTGATAATTATTGTCCTGATCTGTCTTAGGCTTCCCCAAGTTTTAACTAATATTCTGTTGAAGGGTGAGTTCATGTGAAGAACAGATTTTTTAAGAGCAGATCTCACAACTCTCATGTCGACCACAGTAAACTTTCAACGGATTTCCACTCTTCTCAGGGTCGATCCAGTACCTCCGGTGCCCTTTAGTTCACCCATTGAAACTGCCTATGACGAATTTACGTTGTGCTCTGGAAAATTAGCATTTTTGTTGTACAAGGAAAATCTTATTTTGAAAGCAGAGATGAGCATCAGAAAAGAGTAATCCAACGAACCCCAAGCTCTGAGAAACGCCTGCATTACTGGCTGTAAAATTTTGTTTACAAAAAACAATTACACGTGACTGCTTAACTTAAATCAATAAATTGTACATTATTTTAAACTCTAATAAATTCAGCGCTCCAAGCTGCGACCATTTTGCGGCCATGGCGAGTAAAAAAAAAATTGGCGACTTAACTTGCAGCGAAACTTGGCCACCTGTGTTCTGTGGCCATGTACAAGGTGTAAAAGTTCCTTTATCAGCTTGTGTTAATGGTCTTTCAAAGTTAAATTGAGATAAACATTTGCAAGAAATATTATTTACACTTCGCATTCAAGACAATTTTCGTCTTTTCACCCTGGTTGTCCCGGTGTGAAGCCTCGAGATGCCACGGGCCGTTTCAATAGGGTTAACCGTCAGCCGCCAAACGGCAAAAAAAAATTTAACCGTCAACCGTCAGAAAGGGTATGTTTTACCGTCAACAGTCAATAATGCAGATTGATATTAACCGTCAAAAAGTTTTAAGATATTTCAAATCACGCTATTTCAGCTAGATCTTCATGGACTCTTGTCCTGAAGAATCTCCAAACTGGAACACCAGTTCCCATGTTCTTCAAAGCGCACTCTCTAGACATAACCAGACTTTTAAGAAGTTGCTTTTATCTGAAAATATTTCGAAATTCTATTAGGTCTGATTAGTGAAAGGCGAAGAAAAACCTCCTAAAATTAATACTAATTTATGCAAAGTTAATATTTTCTTTAACTCTTGAACTAAATTTCTACTTAGAAACAGTTAATTTCAGACTTTCAAGATCAGATCTCACCTTCGTCAGTTGTCATGTCGCAGTAAACTTTCAACGGGTTTCCACTGTTCTGAGGGTCGATCCAGTACCTCCGTCTCCTTTAGAGTCACCAGGTGCCGGATGCTCTTACAGGAATAAGCAGGCTGCTTGGAATTCCAACCTCGCGGCTTTGCTGCAGCAGATAATAAAACAAATGACTATATATGGTAAATATGCACTTCGCCGTGAAGCAATTGTAAAATTAAATTAAATAGACGAGCGTTACTCACGAATTTCACATCTTTTTCCTTTGTAGTCCGGATTACAATGACCAGTTTGTTTCTTCTTCTTGGTGGGCAAATCTTGGCAAGAAGCCTGAGAAATCAATTTAAAACCGAGTTGAATTTAGAAATATCAAACAATATCTGAAAACTATGGATGACGCCATTTATGCTTTATATAGTTTTCACCAGGTTTGTTTCAATATTAGTAACTAAGTTAATATATATACTTTCTTTCTATTCCCTTCCATAAACGATATTTACCGTGTGCTTCAAGCCACAGGCAAACCGGTACGACAAATCATTATTGAAAAAAAATGTGATCAAAAAGTGCTATTTACGATGTTAGAGTTCTGAAAACATTACTACTTAAATTCTTATAATATCAGTAACTTCATAAGGACGCCTTGAAAATCCAGAGATTTTAAGCCGGAAGTTTGAAAACTTAAATATTTGTCTGTTACGTCTTATTTGAAATCCGGTAAAACCAAACAGGGTGACAGTCACCAAACAACAAGTTTTTAAGTTGGTTTTGGTTAAGGTTTTTTCTCAATTTTTTTTTTTTCATAATAAAGTTCAGCTATAACGTGCACTCTGATTGGTTGAAAAATCATGGTTTATGATAGTATAAAACACGGAGCTCAAGTTGTCTCGATCGCGAGACTACAACATCAGTTCTGCGAAGTCGTCGGCGAATCTTATCTTACTTTCAGATTCAGTTTTTTTTTTCGATCGGAAGCTAAAGCAGTTGTTTTCAAATAGTCATGTTAATGACATGCAGGTTTTTTTAGGCCGCCGAATTGGCCGGATTGAAAAGCTCTTTTTACCTTTAGAAACAGATTCTCGGTTTTGGACGTAATAATAGCCCATTTGCACGATGACGTCACGCGCGCTGTGCATTATGGTTGTAGTAGTAAAGACCGCGAAAGTTTAAAAAAAAAATAGCGGGCAACCGATGCGAAAAGTCATGAAAACAAGGACATTCAAGACCACTCAAAGTCCGAAAATTTCAAGAAGAAAATTATTTTGACTGAGGACGATGTCCCAGGAGCATCGTTCAAAAATAAGGATCCTCAAATCTTTAATAATGAACAACTTAAACGTTGGTTAAAGTGTCGAGGTGCTAGTGTGGGTGGGAGTCGAAGAGAATTACTTACAAGGTTTGTAGTTCTGTCAGTATTTTTCTGTCAGGATTTTAAAAATTAAAAGCGATTTTCTAAGGGCTCCAGCTGTGTCTTTGACTTTTAATAGAATAAAGGATTATCAAGTATCTGGTCAGGACAAAGAAAATCGTCGATCCAGATGGAGGATACATCTTCGTAGACTTCGACTTGAGCGCGAGCTGCGATCACAACAAACCAGCGATAATCTTCCCAAGAGAGTTACATGGCCCAGCGATGGTTGGACATTATCCTTGGAACAAATGCCTCCGTTTCAGCATTGTTATTTGTTTGCTCATTTAGCCGGAGAAATGGAAAGTAACTCGAAGAAAGTTCGCTGAGGTGCTTTCAAAAGCAAGCGTGAAGGTTACGCTCTATATAAAGCCGGACATGTGCAAAAAGGTAAGTTCAACCACACGACAGATGAACATTTCTGTTTTTTGAAAGCCGCGTAAAGGCCTCCATGACTAGAAACAAATTATACAGGACAAGAGTATCACTAAGTAAGCAAACGGCTCAGGTGAAGTCTGGTGCATGTAACTGTAAAGCAGGAGCTAATGGTCGATGTAAGCATATTGGCGCATTGCTGTACAAAATACTCGATTTTACTGAAAGCGAAGTGGATGAAATACCACAAGAACTTTACGTGCACTGAAAGACCACAACAGTGGCACATACCCCGCTCTAATTCTTCAAAGGACGAACTAGTTCTATTGGATGAGTTATTAGTGATTAAGCATAATTATGAGGCCGATAAAAAAGGAAGAAAAAACGAGGTAAGGACTCAGAGAAAAGTGGAAAAGCAAATGTACGACGCTGCACCCTCTTTTGCCAGAAAAATCAATGAACATCAAAATAAAACAGTTTTCTGAGGACTTGAAAGCAGCAAAAACAAAGAACCGACCAATGCTTATTGATTTGTTGAAGGGAATGAATGCAAGCCCATTGTCACTCAAGACATAACACTAAGGGAAAATCGAGACAACATACTGAAGGATCATGATTATTGTTGTCATTCAAACAGAAAACGTCAAAATGAAATTGGGGATGCAGATAGTGGCATTGATCTTCCTTGCAAAATCATTAAAAATGGAAAGCGTTATTGA